TGGACACTGTGTCCTCCGAGCTAAAGACCACTCAGCTTGCTATCAGCGTACATTTCAAAAGCCATTATTCATGATGGTACAGGGGGGCATTAGTGCACATGGCATGGGTGACGTTCACATCTGTGAAGGCACTATTAATGCTGGATGATATATACATGTTTTGGCAACATATGCTGCCATCCAGACGACGTCTTTTTCAGGGAACGCCTTGCTTATTTTAGCAGGACAGTGTCAAACCACATTCTGCATGTATTACAACAGCATTACTCTGTATTAAAAGAGTTAGAGTGCTAAACTGCCCTGCCTGCAGTCCAGACATGTGACCACTGAAAACATTTGGTGCATTATGAAATGAAAAAGTTGTCAACGTCATGCAAAAACTATTAACTATTATTCCTGTCTGCAAGCTCTTGGGCTTCTTTCACAATATGTTTTTGGCAATTATCCAACTGTAGTGTGAAATGCTGTCATTTTAGTTTTGCAGTGTTTGACTGAATCTGAGCAGAATGTTTAGCCCTGTACACTTCAGAATTCATCCTGTTACATTTATCAGCAGTTAAATCCTCAATAAACATGAGGGACCCAGTTCCATTGGCATCCATACATGCCCTTGTCATAATACTGCCTCCACCATGTTTGGCAAGTGATGTGGTATGCTTCAGATTTTGAGCCTTTCCTTTCTTTCTACACACTCTTCTCTGTCCAAAGAGTCTTGTTCCAGAACTGGTCAAGCTTTGTTTTCTAGTAAAGTCTAATCTGGCCTGTTCTTCGGTGTTACTGGTCGCATCTTGAGGTAAATCCTCTTTATTTACATTCTTGAAGGCGTCTCTTGATTATGGACTTTAACAATGATACACCAACCTTCTCTAGAATGTCCTTGACTAGATGTTGTGAAGGGTTTTTTCTTTTTTACGATGGAAAGAATTCTTTGATCATTTTCAGCCTAATGCTGCCCTCCTTTACTTGCATTAACACCTCTGGAGACTGCATGTGAGAATTCCCATGAACAGCTACCACCTGGTTATTCAATACTTGGAAACAACTCCAGACCTTTTATCTCTTTAATTTATCATGAAATAATGAGGGAACAAGCCACACCTGGCATGAAACTGCTTATCAGTCAGTTGTCCAATTGCATTTGAGCCTATGGAATTGGAGGGACTTTGTAAAAAGTACTGTACTTTGTTAAACCCCTTTTATTAAAACTGAATATTTACACTTCACATCTTGATCCAAAAATCCTCTATGAAAAATGGACACAGACAATCGTGTACCCTGCCCGGGAGAGGGTCACCGGGACCTACCCCTGGAGCCAGGCCTGGGGGTAGCGTCCCCCGGCGAGCGCCTGGTGGCCGGGCAGCCCACGTAACCCAGCCGGGCTCAGCCCGAAGAGGCAACGTGGGGAGACCACGTGGGCCCACCGCTCGTAAGGTCCGGCATGGGGGAGCGGTGCAGTGCCGTATAGGCAGTGGGCCCCTGGTGGCCTAGGCCCCTGTGGCAGAAACTGGCTCTTGGTACGTGGAATGTAACCTCATTGGGTGGAAGGAGCCGGAGCTTGTGCGGGATGTTGAGAGGTACCAACTAGATATAGTTGGGCTCACCTCCACCCACAGTGTCGGCTCTGGAACCAAACTCCTTGATAGGGGTTGGTCCCTCTCCTACCTTGGGGTTGCACAAGGTGAGAGGCGCCAGGCGGGTGTGGGTATACTCACGAGTCCCCGGCTGGCAGCCGTGCAGTTGGAGTTTGTCCCGGTGGATGAGAGGGTCGCCTCAATGCGAATTAAAATCGCAGAGAGGAAAACTCTGACTGTTGTGTGCGCTTATGCACCAAACAGCAGGTCGGCGTATTCGGCCTTCTTGGAGCAAGTGGGCGGGGTTCTGGAAAGGGTCCCGCCTACAGACTCCATAGTCTTACTGGGAGACTTAAATGCTCATGTTGGCAATGACTGGGAGACCTGGAGAGGCGTGATTGTTAAGAACGGCCTGCCCGATCTAAACCCGAAAGGTGAATTGTTATTGGACTTCTGTGCTAGGCATGGATTGTCCATAATGAACACCAAGTTCGAACACAAGAATGTTCATAAGTGTACATAGTACCAGAGCTCCTTGGGTCATAGGTCAATGATCGACTTTGTTGTCGTTTCATCTGACTTGGGACCATATGTTCTGGACACTTGGGGGAAGAGAGGTGCTGAGCTGTCAACCGATCACCATCTGGTGGTGAGTTGGATCAGATGACAGGGAAGACCGATGATCAGACCCGGTAGGCCCAAGCGAATAGTGAGGGTGTGCTGGGAACGACTGTCGGAGGCCCCTGTTTGGAAAGATGTTAACTTCCACCTCCGGGAGAGCTTTTCTCATGTCCCAGAGGAGGTAAGGGACATGGAGTCTGAATGGACCCTGTTCAAAACCTCCATTGTGGAAGCTGCCAGGCATAGCTGTGGCCAAAATCTTGTTAGTGCCTGTCAGGGCGGTAACCCAAGAATGCCGTCAAGCTGAAGAAAGAGGCCTTTAGGGACTGGATGGCCCGAAGGACTCCCGACTCAGCAGATAGGTACCGACAGGCGAAAAAGGTGGCAGCTGCAACGGTGGCAGAAGCTAAATCCAGGGTGTGGGAGGAGTTAGGAGAAGCCATGGAAAAAGACTTTCGGTCGGCCTCAAGGAGGTTCTGGACGACTGTCCGGCGACTCAGGAGCGGTCGGGGTGGCTGCGCCCAAGCTGTGTTTGGCAGGGGTGGTGAAGCTCTGACTTCAAATGAGGATATTGTCGGTCGGTGGAAGGAGCACCTTGAGGAACTCCTTAATCCGGGAGATATGCCTCCCTCACGGGAGTCAGGGCCAGAGGCTTCTGGCGTGTCAAGCTCCATTTCCCTGGTGGAGGTCACTGAGGTAGTTGGCAAGCTCTTCACTGGCAAGGCACCGGGGGTGGATGAGATTCGTCCGGAGATGCTTATGGCTCTGGATATTGTGGGGCTGTCGTGGCTGGCACGCCTCTGCAATATTGCATGGACCTCGGGAACGGTACCCTTGGACTGGCAGACCGGGGTGGTGGTCCCTATTTTTAAGAAAGGGGACCGGAGGGTGTGTGCCAACTATTGGGGTATTACACTGCTCAGCCAGGGTTGTGCCCTGTCTCCACTTCTGTTCGTGATATTCATGGACAGGGTGTCAAGGCGTAGCCGTGGTCAGGATGTGTATAGGCCGAAGGGTGGCGTCTCTGCTATTTGCAGACAATGTTGTTCTTTTGGCTGGATCACATGGATGCCTCCAGCGCGCACTGGAGCAGTTTGCAGCTGAGTGTGAAGCGGTTGGTATGTGGATCAGCACCTCCAAGTCTGAGTCCATGGTCTTAACCCGGAAAAGGATGGTAGGGGGAAAGGACTTGCCCCACGTGGAGGAATTTAAGTATCTCAGGGTCTTGTTCACGAGTGATGGAAAGAGGGATCGTGAGATCGACCGCAGGCCGGGACAGGCGGCAGCAGTAATGCGGTCGCTGTACCGGACTGTAGTGGTGAAGAGGGAGCTTAGCCGTAAGGCGAAGCTCTCTGTTTACCGGTCGGTCTACATCCCGACCCTCACCTATGGTCATGAGCTGTGGGTAATGACCGAAAGAATGAGATCGCGAATACAAGCGGCGGAAATGAGCTTTCTTCGCAGGGTGGCGGGCTGCACTCTATTTGATAGGGTGAGTAGAGCCGCTACTCCCGGGGTCGTCCTAGGACACACAGGAGGGATTATATCTCCAGGTTGGCCTGGGAGCAGTTTGGGGTCCCCGGGAATGAGCTGGAGGAAGTTGCGGGGGACAGGGTCGTCTGGGATTCTCTGCTCTCCCAACTGCTACCGTGACCCTAGCTGGACTAAGTGGTTAACGACGACGATGATGATGATGATGATGATGATCTTGACTGATTTATTTCAAATCCATTGTTGTTTACAGAGGCACAATCGCAAAAAAGTCACTGTCCAAATACATATGGACTGTATGTTTGTCATAAGGCTCCAGCACTGAATTACTTATTGATGGAAAGATTATTTATTTGTCAGATAACAGTTAATTGTTTAATCATTAATCTCCGTAGTGGTAGAAATAAGACATGGATATATATGGTAATGCAAAAGTATGCAAAAGTATGAAATTTACATCGTCAGCTACTGTGAGCTACTGTGTAACAAAATACAACATATGTGAACATATTTGGCCAATTAAGCCTGATTCTGATTGTACATCTACACATATAGTTGGAGCTCAACGGCAATGGCAGTTCCCTCCTCACGTACAGTATGTGTCCCTAGCAAGAAGGCGAATATATTAGAACATAATTTATGTACAGTTACAAACATGCTAAATATGTCACAGATGTCTAAGACCATGGGGGTGTTCAAGTCATTACAACGTCACTGTTTATTTGTAGTGGTTGATTTTAGGAGAAAAGACAACCACTACAAATAAACAGTGACGTTGTAATGACTTGAACCACCCCCCCCGTCACTCTCACCAGATGGCACAGAGGAACTACCGGGCACTCCAGACAGTACCTAATAAATTGGTAATTCAGTGTTTCTGTATTGCTTGTAATGATGACTCCTCTTGTAAAAGTGACACATGCTCTCTCACGTTTCTGAATTTCCCCAAAATAAGCATTAAATCTATTACAACACATTAAGGACATGTCCTTACCACGCTCAGAGGCATGCCGTAAGTTTTTCAGGTTTCATGTTTTCTTTGCATAATTTTTATATTTTATTTGCCTTATTTTCATGATAAGTTTGAAAAAACTGACCAAACTTTTTAGTGCTATGTTTGTACCATAATGATAAAATACAAAAACATTTTTTTCCCCAAACAGTAAGCAGCATTATTTGCAAGATACCCAAAGGTATACACTCTGTCACTAACGTTCCATGTACATAGTTTCTGCACAAACATTTGACTAATTAAATTTAGTAGCACAAGTAAATAAAATCTTGTTTACACTGTTAATCTTGATACTATTCTATGCATTAGTGGACATTTATCAGTGCAGAATCAGTTCTTAATATTTGAAGAGTTAAAATGATTTTAATGCACTTTCTGAACCATGGGTAAAACAAAGCATAAATCACTGGATTGACAGAAGAATTAAGATATAGAAGAATCACCAATTTTTCAAAAACATTGCTTTGCATAGTATTACTTACTAAAGCACAAAGAAAGTATGGAAACATAAAAGCCAAGAACACAGTCACTAAAATGCTCAGTACTTTTGCTGCTTTCCTCTGAGATTTCATTGAGTCCATTGCCTTTTTTGAGGCCTGAGCTTTAGTTTGACTTTTAAGGTCTCTGATAGCGTTGGCATGTTTCTTGGCAATAAAAAACACTAGAACATAAAATATGATTATTATAGAACATGGAATAACAAAAGCAAATAGTAGATCAATCAGGGACCAGACCTCATGTAACACAAAAAGACACATTTCAGGACATGTTATCAGCCCCATGGATTTTCCGTTAAAATAAAGAACTGCTGAGTTGTAAGACATTGATAAAAACCAGTTACATGAAACCACAATGCAAGCTGTGTTTACAGACATCTTGTCAGTGTAGACAAAAGGGTTTGAGATGGCAAAATACCGATCAACAGCAATGATGGCAACATTATAAATTGATATGCTTGTGACAAAACCAGAAATAAAAATATAAAATACACACAGAGTTGGTCCAAAAATCCAACATGATTCAGTCAGCCGACTTAACTGGAATGGGAGCACAAACACTCCAACCAGAAAATCAGACATAGCCAGAGAGAGAATGAGCATGTTAGTTGGTGTGTGGAGCTGCTTGAAGTGACACACGGAGATGATAACAAGCAGGTTTCCACACACTGTTAGCAAAACTACAGCAGCTGCACACACATATAGAAACACGTAGACAGATACGAATCTCTCTGGACAGGAAAACTGTAAGCAGCGATCAGTTTGGTTAAGCTCTGTAAGATTCATGGATCCAGCATTGAAAGTGTGTTAAAAGTAGTGATTCAGATCCTGGTTTCTGTTGGAATGCAGTGATTTCACTGGTAACAGTCCAGCTTCATGGTGAAAGGAACTGTAGGCTGAGCAGACAAAAGCTCTGATATTTATATAGAACAGAACCTGATCACACCCACTTGATACAACTGATGTAATTGACTCCAAAGAGAAAAAGCAAGTTAGAGAGGGGTTTAGAACAGTGTTTCTCAGTCCAGTCTAGACGGTCTTCAACAGTGCACAGTTCAGTTCTTGTTTCAACACCTGATTCAATTCAGTAGCTGATTGAGGGCTTGTCTAAATTCCTATAGCACTATGGCTCTATGCCTATGCTGCACTCCTTTATGTTGGGTAGATTTATTGTTCCTTGCTGTAACTGATTCAGCTGATAAAGGAAAATACTCAACTGTACACTGAAGTAGATTACAGTATGAAATATTTTACGGAGCTATCGTCATGGGAAGACAATTACATACTGTATTACATATGTTTTATTTACTATAAACAGAACCATTTCTTTCTGTGAGGGACACATCAGATATTATTGGTACTAGAAATGTTCTCTTTGTTGTTACAGGTTTTGAAGTGTAACATCAGTGAACAGACACTTTAACATGGGAACTATACATGTATGTATGCATGGATGTCTACAGAAATTGTGACAGTGTGTGTTTTTGTGTGTGTGGTAGATGATGCATGGTACATGCAAATTTTGCCAAATTTTTGAATGATAACCTTCCGACATTAGTTGGTAATTAAACACGAACCAACAGGACGCTATCCATAAAAATATTAAGACATCACTGAGTTTTATATAAAAATGCCTCAGCTTTATTAAAAAGAAATATGTAAATTTAATTTTAATGAATAGGTTGTGGCAGTAATAAAAAAAGTAACTTTAATAGGTATGGCAGTAATTTAGTTTAATTTCATTTAGCACATATTAGACCAAGCAAAAATGAACATAAATAGCCTGACTGGGAATAGCTTGTCGTTTAGAATGCACATTTTAAACAACAGTAAACGTGATGTCTGTAGCTAGTACTGTCGTGGTTAAATAGCCTAGTCACTTAGTCAAGAAAAATACCAACATATCTGCAGTGCCTAACTGAACGTTTAAACTAACAGTCGACAGAGCAACAGCTGACCAGTCATTTCTTCAGGGATTTGTAGCCATGAAAAGCAGCAGGCGATACAGCGGCAGGATGATGATTGACAAATTGCGTTGACATTTTCTTAACTTCATGCAAATGAACTATGATGCCATGAATCAACAGTGTAAGAACATTCATAGGCCCAGGGGTCATGGGTCTCTGAGTTTTTTTGTTCCTACTGTCATTTTATTCCTATTCCCAATAGTATCACTCAAAATATCCATTCATTTATTCATCATCATTGACTGCTCCAGATAGGGTTGGCAGAGCAGAGAATCCCAGACAACTCTGTCCCCCACAACTTCCTCCAGCTCATTCTGGGGGACGCCAAGCCGGTTTTGAACGGGATTCATTCAGACTCCATGTCCCTTTCCTCCTCTGGAACATGAGAAAAGCTCTCCCGGAGGTGGAAGTTAAAATCATTCTGAACAGGGGTCTCTGACAGTCGTTCCCAGCACACCCTCACTATTCGCTTAGGCCTACCGGGTCTGATCATCAGTCTTCCCTACTATCTGATCCAACTCACCACCAGATGGTGATTGGTTGACAGCTCAGCACCTCTCTTCACTCAAGTGTCTAGAGCATACAGTCCCAAGTCAGATGAAACGACAACAAAGTTGATCATTGACCTTTGACCCAAGGAGCTCTGGTACCCTGTAAACTTGTGAACATTCTTGTGTTCGAACTTGGTGTTTGTTATGGACAATCCATGCCTAGCACAGAAGTCCAATAACAATTCACCTTTCGAGTTTAGATCGGACAGGCCATTCTTCCCAATCACACCTCTCCAGGTCTCCCAGTCATTGCCAACATGAGCATTGAAGTCTCCTAGCACGACTATGGAGTCTGTAGGCGGGACCCTTTCCAGAACCCCGACCACTCGCTCCAAGAAGGCCGAATACTCCGACCTGTTGTTTGGTGCATAAGCACACACAACAGTCAGAGTTTTCCTGTCTGTAATTTTAATTCACATTGAGGCAATGCTCTCGTCCACCAGGACAAACTCCACCTGCATAGGAGCCAGCCGGGGACACCCCACACTCACCTGGCGCCTCTCACCCTGTGCAACTCCTGAGTAGAAGGACCAACCCCTATCAAGGAGTTTGGTTCCAGAGCCCACACTGTGGGTGAAGGTGAGCCCAACTTTATCTAGTTGGTACCTTTCAACCTCCCGTACAAGCTCCGGCCTCTCCCCCCACAGTGAGGTTACATTCCACGTAGGACGCCAGTTTTCGCCACGGGGGTCTATGCCGCCAAGGGCCTCACTGCCTATTTGGCACTGCACTGTTCTCCCGTACTGGACCTTGCGAGTGGTAGGCCCACATGGTCCTCCCACAATGCCTTTTTTGCCTGAGCCCGGCCGGGTTACGTGGGCTGCCTGGCCACCAGTTGTTCGCCGAGGAACACTAACCCCAGGCCTGGCTCCAGGGGTAGGTCCCGGTAACCCTCTCCTTGCAGGGTACATGATATTCTGCGTCCCTTAGTCATGGACGATTTTTTGGATCGAGTTAGTCTGGGTCTTCACTCCAGACCTGTTCGCCTTGTGAGAACCTACCAGGAGTATATTGCTCCAGATGACTTAGCTCTGAAGATCCCTAGACAACACAAGCCATTCTGCCATGGCAAGGCCTCGATCCAGGAAGGGATACAAACATTACCATGTAAACTTACTGTGTAAACTGTGGTTCATATTCTAAACAAATCAGCAATACATGTTTAGTACATATTTTTACATTTTGTTGACAAAAGCTTAACACTGTACATGCCCACACATGACGAGCAGCATCAGATACACCCACAAGAGACAAACTTGAGGCAACATTGGCGACTTGTCATCTCCTTATGTGAACTTATGGAAAGATTTAATCCACTATACAGTCTGTAGATGGACAGACCTGCGCCAAGTATTCTCACCTGCAATGAGAGTACCCTCTCGACACATACTGATGTGCTGGGTATGGACAAGTAGTGTCTGGTTACAGCTGCTAGTCTCATGAACTATGTGCTCTTTACTTTCCCCTACTGAAGAAAGTATTTGTCCATTGCTGGCAGAATATTGTTGAAATAGGCCTCTATCTCTGTTTCTGAGTTGCAAACTGAAGACAAGTAGCGTTTTCCCAGAAGTAACATTGTTTTTCTTACTGGCTTTGTCTGCCTTTGTCTGCCTTGTCTGCTGATTTCTGCACTAGCAGGCTCACCTCTCTTGCCTGTTACTGGTGACACCTCTGTTATATTTATCACTTTGCATACTTTCCCTTTTGCACACTGCATCTTCATTTATGTAAGAAAGCAAATATGTTTGTCTCCAGGGTCCAGCATTGAGTTACTCATTGATGGATTGATTATTTATTTTTCAGATAACAGTTAATCGGTTAATCATTAATATCCGCAGTGGTTGAAGACATGGATGTCTGTATCAGTGTTCAAGTATGATATTTCTGTTGTCAGCCACAGTTTATTTTGAGCTACAGTGTAACAAAAGACAAACTGTGTGAACATATTTGGCCAATTAGGCCTGATTCTGATTGCACGTATAGTTGGAGCTCAACAGCAATGGCCCTACAATCCTTGTACTGTATGTCTCCCTAGCAAAAAGTTGAATATATTAGGATATCAATTATGTATGTTGCAAATATGCTGAACATGTCACAAAATGTCTAACACTGAGGGGGTGTTAGCAAGTCATTACAACATCACTATTTATTTGAAGTGGTTGGTTTTTGCAGAAAAGACTCCATCCCCCCAAACATGCAAAAGGAGCACTCCAGTCAGTACCTAATAAACTGGCAATTCAGTGTGCAGTAGATGATGCCACAGTGCGCTTATTCAGTGTTCTCTTACCATTCTTTATTGCTTGTAGTCATGACTTCTGTTGTATTTTTTTGAAACAATGACCCTTGATCCTCCATATTTCTGAATTTCCCTAAAATAAGCATTAAAGCTTTTATCACACATTAAGCATATGTCCTTAACGTAGTCAGAGGCATGCTGTGTGTGTTTCAGATTTCAAGTTTTATTTGCATAATTTTCATATTTTATTTGTTCCTGTTTATTGTTAAAGTGGAAAGAACTGACACCAACATTTCTTTTTCAGTGGTGCTATATGTATACAATTATGATAAAATACGAAAAGTTTTTTTATTTTATTTTTTTCCCCCAAACAGTAAGCAACATTATTTGCAAGATACTCAAAGGATCACACTCGGTGAGCCTTTGGAAGTAATGTTCAAATGTGCATAGTTTCTGCACAGAACGTTTTAGCACAAGTAAGCAAATTATTTTATGCTACTCTTGATACTATTCTATGCATTAGTGGACATTTATCAGTGCAGAATCAGTTCTTAATATTTGAAGAGTTAAAATGATTTTAATGCACTTTCTGAACCATGGGTAAAACAAAGCATAAATCACTGGATTGACAGAAGAATTAAGATATAGAAGAATCACCAATTTTTCAAAAACATTACTTTCTATGGTATTACTTACTAAAGCACAAAGAAAATAGGGAAACAAACAAGCCAAGAACACAGTCACTAAAATGCTCAGTACTTTTGCTGCTTTCCTCTGAGATTTCATTGAGTCTGTTGTGTTCTTTGAGGCCTGAGCTTTAGTTTGAATATTAAGGTCTCTGATAGCGTTGGCATGTTTCTTGGCAATAATAAAAACTAACCCATAAAATATGATTATTATAGAACATGGAATAACAAAAGCAAATAGTAGATCAATCAGGGACCAGACCTCATGTAACACAAAAAGACACATTTCAGGACATGTTATCAGCCCCATGGATTTTCCGTTAAAATAAAGAACTGCTGAGTTGTAAGACATTAATAAAAACCAGTTACATGAAACCACAATGCAAGCTGTGTTTACAGACACCTTTTCAGTGTAGAGAAAAGGGTTTGAGATGGCAAAATACCGATC